AGCTCAGTACTCAGTATTCCATTTTCTAAATGCCTCTCAAAGAAGTTATGAGGATTGATTTGTGAAAACCATGTGAAAACTGCTTCAAATGCCAACAGTTTGGTCATGCTCAAAATTGAAGTAGAAATGAAGGCTCTGCTTGTAGTGCTACCCTCAAATGTTCTAACTGCAAAGAAGCACACATGGCATATTCCCCTGAGCGTCCTGTGTTCAAATTTGAGTCGGCTGTGTAAGGGGTTAAGTCTGAGCAAACTATTGGTTACGTTGATGCACGAAAGAAAGTTCCTGCTAATTCTTCTGCAGGACCAACTAAAATATCTTATGTCACTGCCCTAAAACCCACCAAAAGTTACATACATGGCCACACTTCTGAAAAGAAAGTGGGTAGAGATAGATCACCTGTTCACCCTCCATGAATCATAATATCATACAATGTAACTGCCGAGGAATTAAAGCTAATTTTGAAGAAATGAACCTTCTAGCCGAAGATTAGAACCGTTTAGTCTCCAGGAAACATGAGATGGTCAGCAATTTAATTTACATCAGTAGGATACATATAGTTCGTTTGTAAGAGTTTCTTATGGTAAGGCGTATGGTGGCACACATATACCAGTAAAACAGGGATCGCCTCAAAGCCCTATTGCACTAAATACCTTCAGGCTGTTGCAGTGTGTATAACTTTGTATATTACAACAATAACTCTGTGTTCCTCATATATACATCCATCATCTGCTCTTCAACTCAGGGATCTGGATAATCTCATTGACCAGCATCCCAAACCATTTTTGATTATGGGGGACTTGAATGGTCACAAATCGTATTTGGTTCGTCCGATCATAAAGATATAGGAAAAGTGACAGAAGAATTATTTGATAAGCATTGTCTATGCCTTCTTAATGATGGAAGTAACACATACTTCAATCCAGGATAATGTTGGATTTGCCCATTTCTGACACTCTTTAATGATCTTTTTTCAGTTCATGGTCAGTTAATGGTGATTTGTGCCGCACTGATCACTTTCCTACCGTGCTTAAAGCTATATCTCCCTTTGTGGATAGTTTCATTTCCAAATGACAATTTTCCAAGGCTGTGAGGCTGTCGTTTAGTTTCTTTTGCAGTACTAAATTGAAAGCTAATCATTTTATGAATGATCATGAACTTCTTAAACATTGCCACTGAAGCTATCTCTAAAACCTATACAACTCCACATGTTAGTACACCATGGTATAATGATGATTGAAAAAAAGCTAGAAACAAAACAGGATAATGTCGGAAAGTGTATTCAATAAATATCCGACTAAAGATAACTTAAAACGCTTAAGGATATCAAAAGCATAAGCTCGTAGAACAATAAGGCAAAATAAACAAAGCAGCTGGAGACAATTTGGTTTCAAATTGACTACACGCACTCTAAGGCGACGCGATTCGCTGGCAGAGTTGCGTCCCTTGGGCACACCAAAATCCTATGATTGTGGGTTCGAATCCCGGTTTTCCCCGATTATGTTTCCAGGTTTGTCAGCACCATACCCGTACTCGTGGGTTTCACCGAAGTGGTAAACGTCTGAGACCTTCATCACTTCGGGCTTTCCTCCCACATTAAGCTGACACGCCGTGATATAACTGGAATACTGTTAAAAGCGGCGTTTTACCCAACTCACTCACTCACTCTAGTTGTAGAAGGGATTGTGCTGACGTCCAAAACGACACTCGTATCCGGTCTGGTTCTCTCTTCATAGAATGTGCATAGAGGCAGCAATCCAAACATTTGCTGAATGCACATCATTTGGCCGATACTGTTATTACTGTCTCAGTTCATAAATCTCTGAATTCATGCAGGGGCATTTTCAGCGTCCGAGCCAAGTGTCTGTCTGACATTTCAGAAGGGGATCTTGAGATAGAGCTAAAAGGAGTAACATCTGTGAAACGATTCACAATAAAAGATCATGCTAGCGTTGTCAATACCAACACATATCTATTTACATTTGCCCTTTCCAAGCTTCCAACTTATTTTAAAACTGGTTATTTCAACAACGGAGTGGATGTGTATATACCAAATCCACTCAGATGTTTCAATTGTCAACAGTTTGGACATGAAGCCAGGTTATCTCATAACTCCCCAGTCTGCTCCCGTTGCAATAAGAATCACGACAGCACTGATTGCACAGGTAACATCAAATGTACTAACTGCAACGGTGGGCACATGTCCTCCTCAAAACAATGTCCAGTCTTTGGAAGAGAATAAAAAAGTATGAAGGTCAAATATACGAACAATATTTCCTTTTCCGATGCAAAGAAATCGGTAAAAGAACAATCACCTACCTCTTTAAAATCAAGATCATACTCAACCGCACGCAGTTCCACTCTCAAGCAAACAGTTGATCATGCATCTCAGACAGACATTTGCTGGGTAACAGACAACCAAAAAGTGTTATATTTCATAGCTGAGGAATTAAACTGATCACCATCGTCTGAAACAGACTTATCTACAATTAATCGCTAACTAACAGGCACCTGTAATAGAGCCTGAGTCTGAGCCTAAACCTGAACCTGATCCTGAACCTGAGCCGCAACATCTACTTTTATCAAGGAAGGAGAGAATGCAGTCACGAAAAAAAGGAATCAAGGGCACTCAAACATTTGAAGGTGCCTTCAACCATTCTGTTGAGGTTCATAATACCTTTGAGCTTCTTGATATGGAAGTGTCTCCATCTCTGTTATCTCTGTCATAACGAGGACCTTCCCCCCGTTTACGTTCTCCAATTGAGCCTCGATGAGTTGCTCTCACAATATAATACAATGGAATTGCAGGGGACTTAGGCACATTGTAGATATCGCTGCTATGAAATTGCATCACAATGCGTTGCTGACCACTGTGACGTCATTGCTAGCATGACGTCACAATCAAATGACTGAGGCTGTCAGCAGTACTTTTTACACTTAAGACACTGCTTATTACTGTCTACAAACTGATAAAGTTGGAAGAATGATGTTAGATGATAAATAAAATCTCACCCTCGTGTCTTTTTTTTATCAAATATATCAACACTCGTTGATAAAAGTGGAAAAACTCCTCGGCAAGCCTCAGAGTTTTTCCACTCTGAAAGGTGTAAATCCTTCTGGGGAACCATGCAGGTAGCAGAGGTACCGTAAGTCCCCTTGGTCCCTAGTATGGTGACCTTACCTTTGTTCCTGGCGACTTGTAGTCCCAGGTTTATATTGTATCGGTTTAATCGGTTTTTACTGTTCAACTAATTTTAAGTCAAACTGTGATATATTGCTAGTTATAATACTGTCCTTCGTTTTGTATAACTTGGTCAAGTCACAGTATGGCTGAAATATTGCCGACGTGACTTAAAATTATATTTTACTCACTCAATTCCCGTTGGTCGCCTCTTACGACAGGCATTGGTTGCTGAAGACCCATTCTAACCCGGATCTTCACGGGTTTTATTTGTATTAAAGTATACGAGCCATAACATTCTGGCGCTGTATTTATCTGTCTTGAACAATACGAATTTTAACACTACTAACGCTGTATTCATCTGTGAAATCCGCTTAACATCGGTTTCTTATTGTAGTCTTGTTAAAAGCACGTAACCATTCCCAGTGTTCCCAAATAATGCTGAAATGCAGCAATTTGTTCATCCATCGAAACATTTTGATAATGAATTGATTAAAAACGAAAAGCTAATTTACAATCTTAACAGACTGATGGCCTGGACGCGTTCATATTTAAACCTCTCCTGGAACACGAACAGTCAAGTTGTCTTAAACTCCACAGAGGCGGATATGATAACAACCAGTAAAGCCATACACATGTATGTGTGAAGAGGTGACACTAAAATAGTACGATTATGTATGACTCGGTATGGGAATAAGCCGATGAACACTCCAATGGTACCTTTAAGTTGACACTTCGTGATATAACTGAACTACTGTTTGAAGTGACGCAAAAACCAACCCACTAACGCACATACTTGTATAAACAAACAACCCCACGACAGATGAGATACAGCTGGTGTGTAAGCCCAGCATCTCCGTCACACAGAAGCCACTCCCGTGCGGTCGTATTTACGTTCACTGTTTGTCTGTGTCAGCTGGTGGAGCATTGTTGTTTTAAGGTAGGCGCCACGTGCTCAGTTACCTGTGTGAGCCCTACGTGTTTTTTTGTGTGGGTAAAACATCAACGACACAACTCATGGAAAGGAACGGTCTTATTCATGGTTGAAATTTATGCCGTCGTCTTCATTATTACGTGTCCAGAAGGGTTCATTCATTACTATCAAGGTGAGGTAGTGAGGTAAAATGGGGTTAAACGTCGCGTCCAAGATTATTGCATTTATATAGCGACGTGCATGTACGTGTGTGTGTGTGTGGATGCTTGTACTAGTCCGGACTGATGCCGATTTATAGTGCTAGCTCACTGAGATACCATGCCGCAGTTTAGCATGAATACCACACTCAGACACAGTATACTGACTCCAAGCCGACCAGTCCTTGCTTTAGCCCCTTAATACCGAGCGCCAGATAGGGTAACAACAAGTAACATCTAACATAACACTTAACATGAATACCCCACTCCGACACAGTATACCGACTCCGAGCCCTTGTCTCAACCGCTAAATGCCGAGCGCCAGACAAGATAACAACAAAAACAAGTACCAACTTTTAACGTCTTTTAGTATGACGCGGCCGGGTATCGTACACCGGACCTTCCGGTCTCTGGACAGACGCTCTTCCTCGAGACCACAAGGAGTATGCAACCTTTTAAACCAATTGTAAAGGACCTTTCGCGTTTTTTTCTATAACTTGCTCCTGTCATGGTAATGTGTGGATTAAATTTATACTGGCATCCGAGAGTGGTTCCAGTCCAGGTTCGAACCCCCAAAAGGTCATGTTTGTTATTACGTCTCTATAAGTGTAATGTTCAGCCTGTGAGGATATTTTGATGAGTGTGAATCGAACTGAGCTTGTAGCAGAATAGAGATAAATTACAACAATTAGAAAAACATATTTATTAAAATCATACTCTTCGCAATTGCTAAAACAACCAAATACAAACAACACATATTTTTCATAATCAACAACATATTTCCATTAATATAGAATAGACATATCTATCTAAACTCCTGTTTTAAACATGCAAAGGAAAACGTTGAAACTTGCACGTGTATACTGTGCACACAAGACATACCATATGACAATAACAAACAATAAACAATTCCGAGTAAACACACAAGAAGTAAAAAGTCCTTTCATGTGTTAAACCATCTAGCCAAGAGTAATCTTGGGTTTACCAAGAATAACTCGGGTTGCTTTTCTGCCGGTGCCAAGGACAATCTTATGTTTGTTAAATCTCCTGAAAGGCTGGTAGCCCAACAGAATAGACCCTTTCCCTCTACGTTCCACTCTGATAGCCGCAGCCTCCAGATTGTAGAAGCCAACGATGTCGGTGCCGTCGCAGGGCATGTTCTCAGCCTGACCGATGACTACAATTTCTCCGGTGGTAAGGGGACACATGATAGGAGCTCCAGAATCACCCTTAAAAAATACATTAGGTAAGGTTAGTAAACAAAAGCGATGAGAACCATTTAAATAATCATAAGAGGTGAAATCGGGTTTAACGTTGCACTTATATAGCGACGTGCTTGCACGTGCGTGTGTGGCTGCTTGTACTAGTCCGGACTAATGCCGATTTTATAGTGCTAGGTCATTGAGATACCATGCCGCATCAATTACACACTTAGACACAGTAAACTGACCCCAAGCCAACCAGTCCTAAGGCTTGTTTTATCCCCTTAATACCGAGCACCAGGCAGGGTGACAACAAGTACCATCTTGTAACGTATGGTGGTATGACGAGACAGGGGATAGAACCCTGGATATGCCGCTCTCAGGGCAGACGCTCTACCACTAGACCTAAGAGGCGATATGAAATCTCTGCTGAAAGTACAGTCCATTGTACGATTCAGACTATATCATTAGCATGAATTTATGAATCACTATCAAGTAGTGATGATCACACGTGTTCGTGAAAAGGTGAGCGGCACTCGTTGCAAACACGTACATCTGAAAACACACGAGAACATGTCTTCCAGAAAACCTTGGCACACGTGTCAGAACCACAAGGCTACCCCCTTCTTAATGCATTGGGTCCTAGGTAATGTGAGGAAGTACGTTGTGTTATATATACGTACACCACAGGTAGAAGATCCTGTATTGAAGAAACAGTTGTACGTAAGACCAGTGCCAAAGAGGACGGCTTGACCAGACGCCTGCAGGAGGGCGGGACAATCGGCCGTGGGCTGGAGACTTGGCACGGTGTAGAAGGATAATGTTGCGGGGTTCGTGCCTGAAAAGTAACACATGCTAAAAAATGAATGAATGTGTGCTGCAACCTTGAAAGACTTCTTAAACGAGACCAGATCGAGGAAGTCTTTCGAACTTTTCATGAGAATGAATATTTTTCTCAATCCCAATTTGTAAAAGCGTGCATTTGAAACATCCGACTAACGCCGTAGGGTCTAATAAAGTTTCCGGGCATCAAATACTCAATAACACCCGCAAATCTAAACACACATAACATTTATCTACTATAAATATCATATTCATTGCCTGAAAAATAAAGTAGCTGAAATAAACGTCGATCAATGTTTACCGAGGAACACAAAGCAGATTGAAAGAACATAGGAATTAACAGTTTCTTCCTAATTTTGTCATATGCTTTCTAAAGCCTGTATGATATACCTGCAATATCGTCATGTCCGGCACCGACAACGACGCAGCTTGTGAGGTCAATGTCATCGACCATGGCAGCGTCATAGATGCATGCAACGCCAGGGCAACTCGTGGAGCTGATGGGCGTGGACAGAGTGATTGTGAACGGACCTCCTGTTGCGACGGTGGTGGCTAGGAAACGAGGCAAGACATATCGATATAAATATAAGATATTATGCCCATTTTAACCCTAGTCCTACCATTTCACTGCGGTAGACATTATAAATGTACCATATAGGGAATCCAACCTTGGTCTTCGTGAGTGAGTGAGTGAGTGAGTGAGTGAGTTGGGTTTAACGCCGCTTTTAACAGTATTCCAGTTATATCACGGCATGTCAGCTTAATGTGGGAGGAAAGCCCGAAGTGATGCAGGTCTCAGACGTTTACCACTTCCGTGAAACCCACGAGCACGGGTATGGTGCTGACAAACCTAGAAACATAATCGGGGCGAACCGGGATTCGAACCCACAATCATAGGTTTCTGGCGTGCCCAAGGGACGCAACTCTGCACAGCGAATTGCGGCGCCTTAGACGACTGAGCCACCCGTGCCTCCCCCCCCCCCCCCCCCCCCCCCCTGGTCTTCGTCTGACGAGAGAGCGATTTAATCAGTAGCATCGGCTACCCTTCTTTATATTGTAAGTGTTTTTCATATTTCAATCATACCAGAGTAATATATTAACTTGGCCCCCCTATCGATGAATATATTTTCATTTGTCATTACATACTGTACATTGCATTCAGAGCTATGCATCAAAGTTGTTGTGCTCTCATCTCAATAGATCTCTTGATTATGTGTCGCCATTACTTTGTTTCATAAGTTCGTGGATATTCCAGATATTAATGAAGATTTAGTTACTCGAGAAAAGGAAATCGTTCACTTACTGTCAATTACAGGTAGAGTTTCAATGACGGTGCCAGTGGTTGGGTCTTGTAGTTCAAGCCTAAAATAGCATCGATATGCATATCAATGTTAAAGAACATTTATAATAATAATAATAATAATAATAATAATAATAATAATAATAATAAAAAAAATAAAAAATGATGATGATGATGATGATGATGATATGGAATGTAGATTATTGAATTATCAGTGGATGCCCAGCTTTGGCACAAACTACATGATGGTGTAGCTTGATCATTTTATTACCGTCTTCGCCATGCTTGTGGTTTTGACAAAGAGGTCCACCCTTGTTACGACTCGGAATATGTAGAGGGCGTCATGGAAAATGACAAATACAAATTCTTTGGAATAGGCCCATTTACAGCCTTAGACCAACAAATCTGATCTTGTTCTTTTTGATAAATCCAATGAGATCATTTATATCATTGAATTTTCTGTCCCCTTTGACACTAATGTGAATGACAAGACTAAGGAAAAACATGGCAAATATGCGGACCTCGCTTTCGAAATGTCACGCTTGCATCCCAAGTACCAAGTTGTCCGACTCCCCATTGTGCCTTAGGTTTGGTACCTCCCAATCTGTTGACTGACATTGGGAGAGTACCCGGGTTTGCTACCAGGAATACAGCCCTTCTGACGATCTGGGTAATGCAGAAGGCTGCAGTGTTGCGGAGTCTTCACATTCTCCGAAAAGTTCTGGGTGGGTTTGACTATGCAGCGCTTCCTGGGAGAAGTCCCATTCGCTGTCTGGGCTGCGTGTAGAGGGGGCAAGGGCGCTGGGCTGATGATGAGCCTAACCAGCCTGACTGTGCCAGAATCACCCAAACCCTCTTTGGTGCATATTTATATCTTAATCTGTACATGGTAATAACTAAAACCGATTACACTGTATCTGTGTAAATGTTCATGCGTTTCCAATGTAGTGAAACAGAAATGAATCAGAGAGAAAAATATTCAGTCATTTTGAGAACATCATAATGATCTTCAGAGTAACCTCATTATTACTTCCGAGTAGAACGATTGAGAGTAATAACTTTCCGATATTTGCACATGATAACATTTCGTCATCTAAACAATAGTTTGACTTGATGTCACAATGAGTAATATACAGAATAACTCAAATCTCGGATTTACGGTAAAGCTACCAGTTGTTATTGAATACAAGTTTCCTCGTACTTGACGTGGGCCTTACACTATTCCTTCATTCGCTACGCACAATCAGATTCAGATATTAAATCGTTGGTTATTCTCTGAATATTATACATACGCAGTGCCCATGAGCTGAGCACAATTGTTGGGTACGGAGACAGTTGTTGTTGAGGTGACGACGCCCGTGCACACAGTATTTCCCGAAGTGGGGTCCACGACCCTGACGACGCCGGGGTTGGTGGTGCAGTCTGTCACAGCGGTACCGCCGAGAATCCTGGTAACGGTAGACTGTGTGGTCGCCGTCGTTGGGCAGACTAGAACAGAGTTCAGAAATGTATTGACCAATATGTAAGTCACTTGCGCATACGACTTCATTCGCACCGAGAAAAAAGTCCATATTTATTGATGCTACAACAGCCTCCTTTGTTACCCGAGTAGGGAGAATTTCCGATTATGGAGAGATTGTTTAGGGAGGTTTGTCAAGGGTAAAGTGACATAAGAGATTACTGATATGACCGACAACGGTGCTGTTTTTTATGTTTTTATTACTGTCTTCTTTAAAATGTTTTTTTGGAACTAGACATCCGTTTGGGGCGAATTTCGGTTTATAAGCGAAGTCAGTAGCATGGGCAACAAGCCTAAGGCAATTGTAAGGGCTACAACGGATAATATATATGGTTTTAAGATAGTGTCTTAATGTGATACAGGATAAAATAGGCCGATCATAATAGAGCACGTTTACTGCACTTACATCGTGTTACAACAGTGGTAGTTGGGGTGGTGGTTGTAGTTGTAGTTACTGTAGTAGTAGCAGTTGTGGTCGTTGCAGTTGTGGTTGTAGCAGTTGTAGTTGTAGCAGCTGCAGTAGTAGCAGCTGCAGTAGTAGCAGCAGTAGTAGTTGTTGGAGTTGTGGTAGTAGTAGTTGTAGTAGTAGTAGTAGTAGTAGTGGTCGTAGTAGTAGTGGTGGTCGTTGTTGTGGTCGTGGTGGTTGTTGTAGCTGCTGGTGCAGCTGTTGTTGCTGCTGCAGTTGCTGGTACGTTGGAACACGAGGATTGGTAGGAGCTGCAGAGGCACTGGATCTTGCATGAATGATACCAGAAGTTACCAGGATAGAAAGGCATCGTGTTGAAATAGAAGTAGTTGTTTCCTGCAGGGTTAAGAAATATGGTTTCAGTAACTCTTGTAATAAAACATGATTTTACGCCGCTTTTAGCAATATTCCAACAATTTCTCGGCATGGGACACCAGGAACATGTTTGACCCATGTAAAGAATATAGCCCAGGTCTTCAGCACGATGAGCGAACGCTTTAACCACTGGGCTACCCAACCGCCTATTTTCGGCCGATATCAGTATAAGTCAGTATTAGTTAATATACATAAATCTCCAATTGCTTGTCGTAAGAACCGACTAAAGGAGTGTGAATGATCAGGTTTGGTGGCTGGACTGATTGCATATGATCTTGCAATTTATTAGTTTTATTTTAAGTGTGTAGCATTTGTTTTCCCCCGAACATTTATATTAAATAGTATCGGTTCATAAATGAGTGTGATATTCAAATGTATGTAAATTCAATACTAACATGTCGAAAGCTATTCATCTAATATTCCTTCTTTGAAAAGTACGTGTAATTCTTACTTGTTCTGCTGTATCTTTTGTAGTAACGGCAGTCGGCGATGTCGTTAGCACAGCATTGACCAGAAGTATCCAGCCAACACGATCTGATGTCTCTGGTCTTTTTGCTCACGTCAATGGCTCTCAAGAATGTTTGTCTCTTGAAAAATGCATTTCTGTTTGCCGCGTATGTGACGGCTGCAAACGTCGCCAGTAGAAGGACCAGCTTCAACATGTTTGATCCGTCTGTGTGTGTTGGACTCGAAAATGGCATTTCGAAGAAGAATCTATTTATATATTAAAACGATAATAATCATAATAATCATAATAATCATAATCATAATCATAAAAATCTATCTATAATCCATCTGAACGATCACTGCATCGAGTTTATGTTCAGTGTGTTGAAAAGGTCAGCAACCCTGCAGAGTCCTTCGCTTGGATGAGGTCGGCTGGCCTGAAAAGTGAAACAGAATGCTTTCTGTTTGCTGCTCAGGACCAGTCATTTCCCACTCGAAACCGTCAATGTGTGATTTTGCATCAAAATGTAAATATGAAATGTAGATTATGTAATGAATTTAATGAGACTGTCCAACACATTGTCAGTGGATGCCCAGCTTTGGCACAAACACACCATCTTAAGCGTACCAAGTTGTCCGACTCCCCATTGTTCTTGGTGCCTTAGGTTTGGCACCTCCCATTATGTTGACTTACATTCGGAGCGTACCCGGGTTTGCTACCTCATGTTGTCGAGTCTTTACATTCTCTGAAATGGTCTGGATGGGTTTGACTAGGCAGCGCTTCCTTGGGGAATGCCCTGGGCTGATGATGAGCCTGACCAGCCTGACTGTGCCAGGATCACCCAAATCCTCATTGTTACATTTTTTTTGGTTTTAATCTGTAGTTCATAATACACATTATCATTCTCAACATTATTAGTCCAAACGGTTTTAGGTGTATGAGTGAGTATATTTTCCGCAGCTTTAAGCTATAATATCCGAGTAGTGTCACTACGTGGAATCGGAAAGGGTCTGTGGCGTGATGAGCGATAATTGTATAACAACGAGATACACCATAAAGCGACAATTAGAGAGAGCATAACAAATGCACCATTACCAACATCAATAGTTCAATGTCTATGTTAAGGCAAGCTTTGACATCTGAAATATTTCCATTATCGTCTCAGTTATGTACAGTTTGGCTCTTCCGGGGACATGCACAGTTCCCGTGCACGTTGTTAGTGCCGATTGAAATGAGTATTGGATGGCGACCTTGGCACCAAACTGATCATACTTCCCTTTGTTGATTCTTTTTGTACCCAAAGGGGCTGCTGAACCCAATAAATATTTTAAAGAAATTTCATATTAAGAAAATAAATCAAAATATACGTTGCGCGTGGAAAGTTTAAAATCAAGAAGAATTGTGAAATAACTTCATGTGATATGTACAGTTGTTCCATAAAAAGAAAGAAAAGGTGAGACTGTCACCGCGCCCCGACGGCATGGGTCACTACTCTTGCTATCAACCAGTGATATGTCTTGGCTAGGTGCAGTTATTTACAAAACAACGTTCTACGTGTATCTCTGTAGTATTGGTAACTACTAGCATACATTAAAACAATATTCACTGTGTTACTCATTTACTCATAATCTGCAGTTTTGGTGATCTAACTGTCCATACATTGTAATATATGATGTTCAAGTTTACCTTTTGATTCCAAACATTCATTTAGTGAGAAAACAGTTGCCAAATATCATGAGACGAAACAGTTTACTTACCAAAATGTGAACTGACTGTCAAGATGAAAGATGTCTTCGTCGACTAATGGTTCAGAACGGAATCTCAGCCCTTATATACAAGTCAAATGTGAGCAAGAACCAAAGACGCATCACGTGGTACACGCTGAGACAAAACGTCTTCTCTGACACAAGACAAAACAGTTAGACGTGATAACCTTCAATTGAATGAAATTTTATGAAAGTAAGTTTACACCTGGAAGGTAAAATTCCGCTTGGTCTAAGTGCAATTGTCTAGTCAGCACTGCACGAATTTGTTATACAGAAGAGATCGCGGCGCCAGGCATGGCTTTGTTTTTATAATGATTTTTAAACAATGCACCAACGTGACGTCTGAATAACCCTCGCTTTGTCTGAAGCGTTGGCGCGTCTCTTTACATAGCAGTTTACATTTTGTGACACAGTCCTATGGTATTGAGTATGAAGAAAGTAGAGAACGACCATTAGGCAATATATGGCACGTAATTATGTATAATCACATAACGTTTTCTTTAGAAACAGTAATTCGGCGATACTGAAAGGTTTTCCTGCGGTTTTAATTTCATTATCCAGATTAAGAGAACATTCTAATATGTTGACGTATTTCAAATCGAGACGAATTCGGGTATTGTTTTCTAATATTTTATGTGATATATTGAGTCAATTAGTGCAGGATATTGATGGAATTTACACAGACGAGTGGTAAGTATATATGTAAGTTCATACGCTTCTCATTATCGAGATATATTGCAAGTTATAGTTATCAGAAAATGTATGTAAATTTATAACATGGCACATTTGTTTGTCCTCTGTATTTTGATGATCATGTTTCTAGAGTGTCAATTTATGCGATAAATAGATAGTTTATGTTATAGAAGATACCGTTACTGTTACCGAAACACATTCAAAATAGCTATTGTATTTGAACAAGTTATTGTTGCCTGTCGTGCATAACAAATTGTACATATGAAAATTAGTTATGACCAAAACATTATAAACGTTATCAACACGGTACTTGTCTGAAAAAAGCCGTCGAAACACTGTAAACGTGAGATTCAAAACACAACAACGATCCCCGTATCACATACCATCGAATAAACATTTCTTCTTCGTTTCATTTTTAGCCACCATCAAACAAAGGTGTACACGTTATTTTGCCCGACATTTTAGAACTCATTCATGAGTCATTAGGAATAATGTTAAAAAATATATTTAGTTATATATGTATTTTACGTTCATAATTTATTTATCTATTTATATATTTCTTTATTTATTTGCTTTTTAATAAACACAATTGCAATAGAGACTAGAGAGAGTGAATAAAATCAGTAATGTAAGATAGATATTAATCAGCATTGCATTTTTACTGTGTTTAATCACATGAGATATGACTATTAGTTTGGTGTGACGTGTGTGACCACTGATACACATGTACCCATCGATATCAGTACATCTAACATTATTGAAGAACCATGGGTGTCATCACTGAGTTTCAGTGGTCCATTCCTATATTTTTCACAGCTATTGTGTTCTTTACACCAAATGGAATCTGTTTCGGCAGATGATCAGGAGTGATTATTCTCTTCCATTGAAATCTATATTTTCACCAGTCTGGAAGTGGACTATCACTGGTGTGCCTTTGTGATTTCCTTCCACACTAAGCTGCCAGATCGTGATAGAAATAAAATTCAGGTTCAAAGTGATTTTAAATTCAAACATGAGTAACAGTGGCTTTAAATAAAACATCACAAAACGTGTCTTTTAATCTAACACTAGTAACAGTTGCTTTAAATCCAACATCACCGAAAGTGGCTTTTAATCTAATACTAGTAACAGTGGCTTTAAATCCAACATCAACAAAAGTGGCTTTGAATCTAACACTAGTAACAGTGGCTTTAAATCCAACATCACCAAAAGTTGCTTTGAATCTAACACTAGTAACAGTGGCTTTAAATCCAACATCAACAAAAGTGGCTTTTAATCTAACACTAGTAACAGAGGTTTTAAATCCAACATCACATTACTTGGCTTTTAATCCAACACCGCTAACAGTGTCTTTAAATCCTACATCACAAATAACACTAAAAACACCAGAAATATTGGCTTTAAATCAAACACAAGTAACAGTGGCTTGAAATCCAACATTAGTAAAGATGTTTTTTAATCCAACACAAGTGACAGTGGCTTTAAATCCAACACATGTGACAGCGGCTTTAAATCCAACACAAGTGATAGTGGCCGTAAATCCAACATGAGTAAAGGTGGCTTAAATTCCAACATCAACTGGCAGAATGATGACTCCATGTGTTAGTTCGTTCCCGATTATATAAAATTGCGATGTTTAGAAATACATCTCTTGCCCAGGCTTCATAAGCCTAGACCAAACATATATGAACGTTGTCGATTGTCCAGAGCGAATGTAGTAGCATATCAGTACGGTACATCATTACATGTACACCACTATGTCATTGTGACTGAACTATCACACATGTTCAGTCATATGTTCATGGGGAAACGAAACAATGTTCATGTTCCTAATATGTGTCACTCCTCTCGTGTATCATGCCAAAATGAAACCAGGAATCCCGGTGCTTGTTTAAAGCGAGTATGTAACTTCTGAAGCCAGTGGTATATGGCACCTTTCTCATAGTATCCATTATTGGTTACCAATATTAATATGCGTGGATTTAAATATTTATTGGCATCCGTGAGGGGTTTCAGTCCAGGTTCGAACCCAGAAAATGGTCATATTTGTGTTTATGCTTATATACGTGTAATATCCAGTCTATTTAGATATTGTCATGAGTGTGGTCATCAGATTAGTTTGAAGTGAATAGAGCTTGTAGGAGAACAGATATAAATTACAACAATTAGGAAAAAAATATTTATTAAAATCATACTCTTCGCAATTGCTAAAACAACCAAATACAAACAACACATATTTTTCATAATCAACAACATATTTCCACTAATGGAGAATAGTCACATCTATCTTAACACCTTGTTAAAACATGCACAGGAAAACGTTGAAACTTGCACGTGTGCACTGTGCACACAAGACATACCATATGACAATAACCAATAATAAACAACTCCGAGTAAACACACATGAAGTAAAAAGTCCTTTCATGTGTTAAACCATCTAGCCAAGAGTAATCTTGGGTTTACCAAGAATAACTCGGGTTGCTTTTCTGCCGGTGCCAAGGACAATCTTATGTTTGTTAAATCTCCTGAACGGCTGGTAGCCCAACAGAATAGACCCTTTCCCTCTACGTTCCACTCTGATAGCCGCAGCCTCCAGATTGTAGAAGCCAACGATGTCGGTGCCGTCGCAGGGCATGTTCTCAGCCTGACCGATGACGACAATTTCTCCGGTGGTAAGGGGACACATCACAGGGGCTCCAGCATCACCCTGAATAATACATTACGTAAGGTTAGCATATAAAAGCGATGAGAAATATTTGAAATAATCACATTAAATCTCTGCTGAAAGTCCATTGTACTAGAATATCCATAGCATGTGTTTATGAATCACTATCAGATGGTGATGGTTTCAGGGGTTCGTGAAAAGTATGCTGCCCCACCGGTGGCACTCGTTACAAACTAATACAAAGACACGTCAATATTTATCTTAAAACACACGGGAAAGTATGATACAAGTTTATATATGGAATTGCATTGGACAAAATGTTGGTCGCTGGTCAAATTTGGCATGTCTTTTACACAGGTATCAGTAACACAAGGCTTTCTGCTGCAATCATGCATTGGATGTTAGTTAATGTGAGGAAGTGCGTTGTGTTATATGTACGTACACCACAGGTAGAAGATCCTGTATTGAAGAAACAGTTGTACGTAAGACCAGTGTCAAAGAGGACGGCTTGACCAGACGCCTGCAGGAGGGCGGGACAATCGGCGGTGGGCTGGAGACTTGGCACGGTGTAGGAGGATAATGTTGCGGGGTTCGTGCCTGAAAAGAAACACATACTGAAAATTGAATAAAATGTGAAACATTGCTAACTGGGTTCGAATCCCGGACTTCAAACATCCTATGAATTCTTTTCTTGATCAGTATGTTATTTTTCTCAATCCCCTTTTGTAAAAATGTGCCAGCCTACTCAATGGTGGAAATCTTAACATTTGAAAATTCGACTAACGCCCTCGGGTCTAAATGAAATTTCCGGTCATCAAATACCCTATAACACCCGCAAATCAGAAAACACGTCACATTTATTTACTGATTAGCATATCCATTGCGTGACAGCTGAACTAGCTTAAGTTAACATCGATGGACGGGGTATAAAGTTAACCGAGGAAAACAAATCAGATTGAAAGATCATAGGCATTAACAGTTTCTTCCTAATTTTGTCAAAATCCTTTCTTAAACCAGTATTATGTACCTGCAAAATCGTCATGTCCAGCACCAACAACGACGCAGCTTGTGAGGTCAATGTTGTCGACCATGGCAGCGTCATAGATGCATGCAACGCCAGGGCAACTCGTGGAGCTGATAGGTGTGGTCAGAGTGATTTCGAACGGACCTCCTGTTGCGAGGGTGGTGGCTAGGAAATGGGACAATACATATGAATGCAAAACTAATGTAAATATAGAGTAAGCAAGGTTTAATGCCCAGTTTATCCCTATTCTAGCCATATCAGTGCGGGAGGCATTGTACCGATGAGATACACCCTATCTTGGTATTTGATATGACGAGAGAGAGAGAGAGAGAGAGAGCGATTTAATCAGTAGGCTGCCCTTCCAATTGATATTGTACTTGGTAGTTATTCTACCAGGGAAGTATATTTTCTTAATCTTATCACGAAATTGATGAATTATATTTTCGTTTGTCATTACATATTGTTGTCCTTTCTTTGAGAGCTACGCTTCAAAGTACCTGCACTGTCGTCTAAATCGATCCCTTGGTCATAGGTGTTAATTTTTGGGTCGGTGTTATTTTTCGTAAGTTCATGGATATTCCAGATATTAATGAAGATTTAGTTACTCGAGCAAAGGAAATAGTTCACTTACTGTCAATAACAGGTAGAGTTTCAATGACGGTGCCAGTGGTTGGGTCTTGTAGTTCAAGCCTAAAATTAAATCGATATGCATACCAATGTTAAAGAATATTTATCGCGGGGTCACTTTCTTCTTTGATTTGTTTATTCAAACCTCATTATTTTACCAACAATGAAATAATAATGGTAACTAAAAACGGTAACGCTGTATCTGTGAAAATATGTAGTGAAAAAGTACGAATGTATTAGAGAGAAAAATATTAAGTCATTATGAAAATATCAGAATGTACTTCAGAGAAAGCCTATTATTACTTCCGGGTAGAAGGAATGAGAGTAATAACTTTCCGATATTGCACATTATGTAGCGTCATGAGATCACACATTGATAATATTACGTCATCTTAACAATAGTTTGACTTGAAGTCACAATGAGTAATATACAGAATAACTCAAATCTCGGATTTACGATTTAGCTACGAGCTGTGATTGAATATAAGTTTCCTCGTACTTGACGTGAGCCTTACACCATGCCTTCATTCGCTACGAACAATCAGACTCAACATTGGAATCGTTGGTTATTCTCTGAATACATACGCAGTGCCCATGAGCTGAGCGCAGTTGTTGGGTACGGAGACAGTTGTTGTTGAGGTGACGACACCCGTGCACACAGTACTTCCCGAAGCGGGGTCCACGACCCTGACGACGCCGGGGTTGGTGGTGCAGTCTGTCACAGCGGTACCGCCGAGAATCCTGGTAACGGTAGACTGTGTGGTCGCCGTCGTTGGGCAGACTAGAATAGAGTTCAGAAATGTATTGACCAATATGTAAGTCACTTGCGCATACGACTTCATTCGCACCGAAAACAAAATACCAGTTTACTTTGAGCGCTAGATACTGAACTTATAAAGGTTATTACTGTCTCCTTTAAAAAATTGTCACCCGTTTCCGGTTAAGGAGGTGTCGGTTTAGAGAGGTTTGCCAAAGGAGCAAAAGACATGTCTGCTTCGACAGACAACAGCTGTGCGGGTTTTTTTTATTATAGCTATCTTCTATACCATTTTTGGTTGACATAACACCCGTTTAGGGTGAATATTGGTTTATAGAGAGGTCATTTTAGCGAGCATTGCAAAGGGCAATAAGGTAATCATCGTGTGATGCATACTTTGGGCACAATGCAATTACAAGGGCTACGTCGGATTATAAATTTGGTGTAAAGATGACGGTCAAGATAGTATCGTTTTATTGTGAATGGATGATTTTAATAAGAATTGCTGAAGGTCCTATTTTAACAATGTGCGTTCGACAATGCCATGTTATTAACCATACTTTTTTAAATTTTATGATACAGCAATCGCAGTTAAATCCACTTACATCGTGTTACTACAGTAGTAGTCGGAGTGGTGGTTGTAGTTGTAGTCACTGTAGTGGTAGCAGTGGTCGTTGTCGCAGTTGTAGTTGTCGCAGTTGTAGTTGTAGCAGCCGTAGTAGTAGCAGTTGTTGTCGTAGCAGCTGTGGTAGTTGTTGCGGTAGTAGTGGTAGTCGTTGTGGTTGTTGTAGTTGCTGGTGCAGCTGTTGTTGCTGCTGCAGTTGCTGGTACGTTGGAACACGAGGATTGGTAGGAGCTACAGAGGCACTGGATCTTGCATGAAGAATACCAGAAGTTACCAGGATAGAAAGGCATCGTGTTGAAATAGAAGTAGTTGTTTCCTGCAGAGTAAAAGAATAATGTTTTCAATGGCGACGTTGGGTTCTTGTGAGTGAATATGATTTTATGCCAATAGTCCAACAATATCACGACTCGATACACCACAAATGGACTAGCCCATGTGAGAAATCGGACCCGGGTCTTCGGCCTGCCATCCGTACGCTTTAACAACTGGGCTTCCCATCGTCTCTTTCTGGTCGTTTCATAAGGGGATTGTAGTGTTACAAAACAGACAGGCTACATACATGTATATACGGACAGCCGGTGCTCTACGTACATAGGGTTCGCTATAACAACGACCGGTAAACGTTTGTACCAAAGTCCTGTGTATCAATAAATCACTGTTTTCATCTTGCAATTTATTAGTTTTATTTAAATATGCAACAGTTGTTTCCCCCAAACATTCAAAGATAAAAGTATTGGTTTTTAACTGAGTGCTATATTCGGATGGTCTTGTCAAATTTCCTTTCATGCTCTTTATTAAATGTCAAATGGTTGCTTAACCGAACATTTCCAATTGGTTCAAATGAAAAGCACTTAAAACCTGTAAAAACATAACTATTTAAATTCAGTACTGAAATGTCGAGAACTATTTGTTTCATAATATTTGTATGTAGACAAAAACCCACTGGTTCTGCTGTATCTGTTGTTGTTATGGCAGTCGGCGCAAAATAGCAAACGTATGTAAATTCAATAGTAACATGTCGAAAACATTTATCCAATATTACTTAAATGAAGTGTACATGTAATTCTTACTTGTTCTGCTGTATCTTTTGTAGTAACGGCAGTCGGCGATGTTGTTAGCACAGCATTGTCCCGAAGTATCCAGCCAACACGATCTGATGTCTCTGGTCATTTTGCTCACGTCAGTGGCTCTCAAGAATGTTTGTCTCTTGAAAAATGCATTTCTGTTGGCCGCGTATGTGACGACTGCAAACGTCGCCAGGAGAAGGACCAGCTTCAACATGCTTGATACGTCGGTATGTGTTCTCGAAAATGGAAATTCGAAGATGTGCCTATTGTATATTAAACGAGAATTTAATGAGGATTATAAAAGGAAGAGGCTTTGAGAAATATTCTAGCAATCGAACCGGGTCTAAGGCGTGATGAACGATATAGTTACTATTACAAAATTAGCATTAACAACATTAATAGTTTAAGATATATGTTACATGACAGCTTTGAAATCGGTTATTTCGTGAAATGTTTGATGGAACTCAATTGCTATTTTAGTTAATCATCTCAGCAATGTACAGTTTGGTTCACCCGAGAAAGACGAGATGAATCAAAAGTGCCGACTGTAATGAGTATCGGATGGCTATACTATACCCTTGAACCTTGTTCCTAAGACTCTCTTTTGTGTTTTTATTCCGATGGTACAGTACCCATCGGGGCTGCCGATAAACCCATTCGATTTTTTGAAGAATTAACACTTAATCTTAATCTTTAAAACTTAAAGTAAAAACGTTTGCTTGGTAAGTTTGGATTAATAAATTCTCAAGTGAATATGACATATCTTTATCATAGATGTACAATTGTCCAAAAAGTAAGAAAATGTGAGACTGTCACAGCGACCCCACGGCAGGGATCGCTACTCTTGCTATCAACCAGTGTTATGTCTGGTCTAGAGGAAATTATTAGCATACGAACGTTAATGTCGCTGCAGTATTGGTACTGGTATACAACAAAACGAACTTCACTTTAATTTGTTCCTTATTCAATCATAATCGGCAGTTTTGCAAAGAAGGATCTTATTATCCATATATTTTAATATATGATGCTCAATTTTAGTTTTTGATTACAAACTTTCTGTAGCTTATTAAAGCTGGAAACAAATGTAAAGAGACGAAACAGTAAGTGTGGGTTCGAATCCCGGACAGGACTCAACCCCAAAAAGTACGAGAATCTGTACTTTACTAAGAAAGTGTTATCCCAAATATAACATTTGTAACGAAACAGTATACTTACCAAAATGTGAACTGAGTGTCAAGATGAAACACTCTTCGTCAACTGATGGTTCCGGACAGAATCTTCAGCCCTTTTATACACGTCAAATGAGCAAGAACTGAAGACACATCACGTGAGAGGCGTATTGCTTGTGTAAACTCTAACGTCACAGTGCAATTCGGTGTAGTTCTATTATCTATCAAGCTATTATTCAATAGAAGTAACAAATACTCTTGCTGACCACTCGACAAGAACCGTGGCAGTAGGGCATGGCGGTACTCCGTTGACACATTACGTCTTCTCTGAAACAAGACAAAATAGTAAAACGTGTTTAATGGAATGAAAGTAAGGTTACACCTGGAATGTAAAATTCCTCTTGATCTAAGTGTACTTGTCCTGTCAGCATTGAACGAAACTGTTATACAGATGCGACCGAGGCGCCAGGCATAGCTTTGTTTTGATGATGATTTTGAACACAATGTACCAACGTGACGTCTGAATGACCCACGTCGTGACCCAGGCGTTGTCACATAGGGGTTTACATTTGGCGACACAGTCTTATGGTACTGAGAATGAAAGGCCATTTAGCAATATATGGCCATGATGTCAGAATCACATAATAATACAATGTGTTTTTAGAAACAGTAATACGGCGATGCTGAAGGGTTTCTCTAACAGAACACATGTAATATTCCTGCGTATTTCAAGTCATAGTTCGAGACGAATTTCTTGTATTTATTTCTGGTAATAATGAGTCAATAATTGCACGATGGCGATAGAACTGACACAGAGGAGGCGTAATGTCCATACTCTTATGCCCTTTCTTGATATTTTTCAGAGTATACGTTGCAACAAATTGATGCATAAGATGGCGGTGAGGTGAGGTAAAATGGGGTTTAATGTCTCGTCCAAGATTAATTTACTTATATAGCGACGTTCATGTACGTGTGTGTGTGTGTCTGTGTGGCTGCTTGTACTAGTCCGAACTGATGCCGATTTGAGTCCGATTAGAAACCATGCCACAGTTTAACATGAACACACCACTCAGACACAGTATACTGACTCCAAGCAGACCAGTCCTTGTTTTAACCCCTTAATGCCGAGCGCCGCACTGGTTAACAACAATTTCCATCTTTTAACGTCTTTTGGTATGCCGCGGCCGGGGATCGAACCCCAGACCTTCCGTTCTCCGGGCGGACGCTGTACCACTAGACCACGGAGGCGGTTTCCAGAGTGAATATATTTGTTTGTTGGTTGTTTAACGCCGCCCTCTGCCATATTCCAGCTACATGACGGTAGTCTGTAAATAATTGAGTCAGGACCAGACAATCCAGTGATTGACATCGTGAGCATCGATCTACGCAATTGGGATACAGTGATATGCATCGCAAGAGGCGACTTACGGGATCGGATGGTCACGTAATTCTCCATTTGGACTTGTACCATATGTTAAACTTTTCAGGTGAACAATTGACATGTCCTTGCATGTGTTTGTGACGGATGCCACCGGTGGGGCAAGATATGATCAGCATTTCGCGAACACCTGGTATAATCGTATGAAAGTGATTCATTAACACGTGTGCTTGTATAGTTGGAAAGGTACAATGGACTCAGCTTTTAGCAGATATTTCCTGTGATCATGGAAATGGTTTTCAGCAGTAGCTATATGGCTGGAATTATGCCGATGCGACGTTATATTTTAACTCACTCACACACTAATATAAACACTATATATAACTCACCATACTCACATTACATCTTTCATTGGTAACAATGTTATATGTGCGTCTTGTCAATAATGATTTCCTAAGGTTTTAGGAAGTTCTTGCGTTTTCAGTAAACTACGGTTATAACGAACACGCTTATAACGAACTGACGGTTATAACGAACTTACTTCTTTGGTCCCGACTTTTTGCTGTAGTTATTCTGTATATATGCTTATAACGAACTACAGTTATAACGAACTGAAATTAGTAGTCCCTTTGAGTTCGTTATAACCGTAGTTTACTATAGTACAAAAAGGTTAGTTTATTCATGCTATTCTAAAAATACATTGGTATGTACTTTAAGTTCATTCTCTTATTTGAACTTGAGTCACATTCCAAACCATAATTTTAAATGACGAATTGAAAATCAGACGAGTGTCACACTACATCAAACTACATGCCAAAAGCAAAGGTGCCCAGTGACTGACATGTCTTGTAAGTTTCAACCAAACAGCTCAGTGATTTACATGTCTTGCCGCAAGACTAGACTGACATGCCATATAAATTTAAACCAAGTCATGTGCAAGACAAGCCTTACTGTAAGTTTAAACCAAACGGGCCTAATGCTTGACATTCCTTCGTCTAAGTTAAAAAAAAGGGTCAAATGACTGGATTGCCTTTTTTAAAGTTAGAACAATACGGGACTTTGGGTCCGAAATCCCTTTGTCCAACGTGTTTATTTTCTGAGATTTTCATGTTGTCAAAATGTGGCATTACAGTTCTGACACATTCATCTTTGATTTGACACAACAGTGAGTGAGTTTTGTTTTAATCCATATCTATCGGTTACAGTAAACTACGGTTATAACGAACTCAAATGGACTACTTATTTTAGTTCGTTATAACCGTAGTTCGTAATAAGCATATATACAGAATAACTACAGCAAATAGTCGGGACCAAAAAAGTAAGTTCGTTATAACCGTCAGTTCGTTATAAGCTTGTTCGTTATAACCGGAGTTTACTGTATAAGAAGACATGTCAGCTTGATGTGAAACCCATTCGACCTCTTTAAGTTGAGACCGAGGGAATATAATCAGGTCAAACCTAGAATTCGAACCCAAATTCAAAGGTTTCCGACACGTCTATGGGATGCAGCTGTGCCGTCGGAAAGAGACACTCGATAGAATGGTTTTCTTATACATGTGGAGTTTGTAAACCTGATCGTTACGTAAGATGTAAACAAAGTAATGCTTCAAAACAAGAGCGTCACCTGGTTGTATCCCCTAAAGGTATTTCTCGTTCTAAAGGATTGCAACAGGTAAGGATATGGAGGTATGTTGCGCAGATAGTGTGGCTGATTACATGTAAATGTAAATCTCTCTGGTCGTCGATCAGTCATACTGACGTTCTTCCACATCTGGGTGGGAAATATCATTCTAGGTAAAACGCCAGTGTTGTCTCTCATGCATGCATACCATATCCTTTGGGGGTAAGTTTTTAATATATGATGCTCATCTTTATGCTAAAAAATGTATTTTGCATGAATCCATACCTGTAAACTTTTATAGGAAATTCTACAGCCTCATTGTATCAAACACGTATAAAATACTTTTCCAGAATGCTAATGTCTTCATACGGCATCCACTGTCAGGGGCTCGACTTTAGGACAAAAGTACTAAATAGACGTTGGTTGACCAGTTGGTCCAGTGCTATTCATAGGTACTCATAAGTCACTTTTTATACTAATATATGTTATTTTTTTTGAAATTTACACGATATATGGCTTTTCCATCGGTCACATGACCGGGAAATTGACGTTCATAAGTATATGAATTACACAATTCGATGTGAATACGTTTTTCACGAGACTGTGTTCTTGAAATGACGTAAACACTGATGGACTACGTCCACATTCCTGGGAAAACACCTAGATGTTTAAACATTTTAATGTTAAACTCAGCGGGTGTCCCTTTGTGATTTCCTCCCCCACTAAGCTGCCAGGTGGTTATAGAAATGAAATTCGGTTAAAAGTGATTTTAAATTCAAACATGAGTAACAGTGGCTTTAAATAAAACATCACCAAAAGTGGCTTTTAATCTAACACTAGTAACAATGGCTTTAAATACAACATCACTAACAGTGTCTTTAAATCCAACATCACTTACAGTGTTTTTAAATCCAACATCACTAACAGTGGCTTTAAATCCAACATCACCAAAAGTTGCTTTTAATCTAACACTAGTAACAGAGGCTTTAAATCCAACATCACCAAAAGTGGCTTTTAATCTAACACTAGTAACAGAGGCGTTAAATCCAACATCAATATACGTCTCTTTGAATCCAACACCGCTAACAGTGGCTTCAAATCAAACATCACCAAAAGTGGCTTTTAATCTTACACAAATAACAGTGGCTTTACATCCAACACAAGTGACAGTGGCTTTAAATCCAACACCAGTAACAGTGGCTTTAAATCCAACACAAGTGACGGAGGCTTTAAATCCAACACAGGTGACAGTGGCTTTAAATCCAACACAGGTGACAGTGGCTTTAAGCCTAGACCAAACATACATGGACGTTGTCACTTGTCCAGAGCGAATGTAGTAGCATATCAGTACGATACACCACTAGCTTGATATGTCATTGTGACTGAACTATCACACATGTTCAGTCAAATGTTCATGGGGAAACGAAACAATGTTCATGTTCCTAATATGTGTCACTCCTCTCGTGTATCATTCCAAAATGAAACCAGGAATCCAGGTGCTTGTTAAAGCGAGTATGTAACTTCTGAAACCAGTGGTATGGGACCTTTCTCATAGTATCCATTATTAATATGCGTGGATTTAAATATTTATTGGCATCCGTAAGGGGTTTCAGTCCAGGTTCGAACCCAGAAAATGGTCATATTTGTGTTTATGCTTATATACATGTAAAAGCCAACCTATTTAGATATTGTCATGAGTATGGTCATCAGATTAGTTTGAAGTGAATTGAGCTAGTAGGAGAACAGAGATAAATTACAACAATTAGGAAAAACATATTTATTAAAATCATACTCTTCGCAATTGCTAAAACAACCAAATACAAACAACACATATTTTACATAATCAACAATATATTTCCACTAATGGAGAATAGTCACATCCATCTAAAGACCTTGTTAAAACATGCAAAGGAAAACGTTGAAACTTGCACGTGTATACTGTGCACATAAGACATACCATATGACAATAACCAACAATAAACAACCCCGAGTAAACACACATGAAGTAAAAAGTCCTTTTATGTGTTAAACCATCTAGCCAAGAGTAATCTTGGGTTTACCAAGAATAACTCGGGTTGCTTTTCTGCCGGTGCCAAGGACAATTTTATGTTTGTTAATTCTCCTGAACGGCTGGTAGCCCAACAGAATAGACCCTTTCCCTCTACGTTCCACTCTGACAGCCGCAGCCTCCAGATTGTAGAAGCCAACGATGTCGGTGCCGTCGCAGGGCATGTTCTCAGCCTGACCGATGACGACAATTTCTCCGGTGGTAAGGGGACACATCACAGGCGCTCCAGCATCACCCTGAATAATACATTACGTAAGGTTAGTATATAAAAGCGATGAGAAACATTTGAAATAATCACACGAAGTTTTTGCTGAAAGTCCATTGTACTATTATATCCATAGCATGTGTTTATGAATCACTATCAGGTGGTGATGGTACCAGGTGTTCGTGAAAAGGTGAAAGTATGCCGCCCCACCGGTGGCACTCGTTACAAACTAATACAAAGACACGTCAATATTTATCTTAAAACACACGGGAAAGTATAATACAAGTGAATATGAGGAATTGCATTGGACAAAATGTTGGTCGCTGGTCAAATTTGGCATGTCTTTTACACAGGTATCAGTAACACAAGGCTTTCTGCTGCAATCATGCATTGGATGTAAGGTAATGTGAGGAAGTGCGTTGTGTTATATATACGTACACCACAGGTAGAAGATCCTGTATTGAAGAAACAGTTGTACGTAAGGCCAGTGTCAAAGAGGACGGCTTGACCAGACGCCTGCAGGAGGGCGGGACAATCGGCAGTGGGCTGGAGACTTGGCACGGTGTAGGAGGATAATGTTGCGGGGTTCGTGCCTGAAAAGAAACACATACTGAAAATTGAATTAATGTGAAACATTGCTAACTGGGTTCGAATCCCGGACTTTTAACATCCTATGAATTCTTTTCTTGATCAGTATGGTGATTTTATCAATCCACATTTGTAAAAATGTGCCAGTCTACTCAATGGTGGAAATCTTAACATTTGAAAATTCGACTAACGCCCTCGGGTCTAAATGAAATTTCCGGTCATCAAATACCCTAAAACACCCGCAAATCAGAAAACACGTCACATTTATTTACTGATTTATCATATCCATTGCGTGACAGCTGAACTAGGTGAAGTTAACATCGATGGACGGGGTATAAAGTTAACCGAGGAAAACAAATCAGATTGAAAGATCATAGGCATTAACAGTTTCTTCCTAATTTTGTCAAAATCCTTTCTTAAACCAGTATTATGTACCTGCAAAATCGTCATGTCCAGCACCAACAACGACGCAGCTTGTGAGGTCAATGTTGTCGACCATGGCAGCGTCATAGATGCATGCAACGCCAGGGCAACTCGTGGAGCTGATAGGTGTGGTCAGAGTGATTTCGAACGGACCTCCTGTTGCGAGGGTAGTGGCTAGGAAATGGGACAATACATATGAATGCAAAACTAATGTAAATACAGAGTAAGCAAGGTTTAATGCCCAGTTTATCCCTATTCTAGCCATATCAGTGCGGGAGGCATTGTACCGATGAGTTACACCCTATCTTGGTATTTGATGTGACGAGAGAGAGAGAGAGAGAGAGAGAAAGAGAGTGAGATTTAATCAGTAGGCTGCCCTTCCAATTGATATTGTACTTGGTAGTTATTCTACCAGGGAAGAATATTTTCTTAATCGTATCACGAAATTGATGAATTATATTTTCATTTGTCATTACATATTGTTGTCCTTTCTTTGAGAGCTACGCACCAAAGTACCTGCACTGTCGTCTAAATCGATCCCTTGGTCATAGGTGTTAATTTTTGGGTCGGTGTTATTTTTCGTAAGTTCATGGATATTCCAGATATTAATGAAGATTTAGTTACTCGAGCAAAGGAAATCGTTCACTTACTGTCAATAACAGGTAGAGTTTCAATGACGGTGCCAGTGGTTGGGTCTTGTAGTTCAAGCCTAAAATTAAATCGATATGTATACCAATGTTAAAGAACATTTATCGCGGGGTCACTTTCTTCTTTGATTTGTTTATTCAGACCTCATTATTTTACCAATAATAACTATTATTTTACAATAGTAACTAAAAACGGCAACGCTGTATCTGTGAAAATGTCATATGTAGTGAAAAAGTACGAATGTATTAGAGAGAAAAATATTAAGTCATTATGAAAATATCAGAATGTACTTCAGAGAAAGCCTATTATTACTTCCGGGTAGAAAGAATGAGAGTAACAACTTTCCGATATTTGCACATTATGCAGCGTCATGAGATCACAAATTGATAACATTACGTCATCTAAACAATAGTTTGACTTGAAGTCACAATGAGTTATATACAGAATAACTCAAATCTCGGATTTACGGTTTAGCTACCAGCTGTGATTGAATACAAGTTTCCTCGTACTTGACGTGGGCCTTACACTATTCCTTCATTCGCTACGGACAATTAGATTCAGATATTGAAAAAATTGGTTATTCTCTGAATATTATACATACGCAGTGCTCATAAGCTGAGCGCAGTTGTTGGGTACGGAGACAGTTGTTGTTGAGGTGACGACACCCGTGCACACAGTACTTCCCGAAGTGGGGTCCACGACCCTGACGACGCCGGGGTTGGTGGTGCAGTCTGTCACAGCGGTACCGCCGAGAATCCTGGTAACGGTAGACTGTGTGGTCGCCGTCGTTGGGCAGACTAGTATAGAGTTCAGAAATGTATTGACCAATATGTAAGTCACTTGCGCATACGACTTCATTCGCACCGAAAACAAAATACCAGTTTACTTTGAGCGCTAGATACTGAACTTATAAAGGTTATTACTGTCTCCTTTAGAAAATGTCACCCGTTTCCGGTTATGGAGGTGTCGGTATAACAGCTGCTTAGAGTGAATTTTGGTTTATAGAGAGGTCGGTTTAGCGAGCATTGCAATGGGTAATAAGGTAATCATCGTGTGATGCATACTTTGGGCACAATGCAATTGCAAGGGCTACGTCGGATGATAAATTTGGTGTAAAGATGACGGTCAAGAAAGTATCGTTTTATTGTGAATTGATGATTTTAATAAGAATTGCTGAAGGTCCCATTTTAACAATGTGCGTTCGACAATGCCATGTTATTAACCATACTTTTTAACTTTTATGATACAGCAAGCACATTTACTCCACTTACATCGTGTTACTACAGTAGTAGTAGGAGTGGTGGTTGTAGTTGTAGTCACTGTAGTGGTAGCAGTGGTCGTTGTCGCAGTTGTAGTTGTCGCAGTTGTAGTTGTAGCAGCCGTAGTAGTAGCAGTTGTTGTCGTAGCAGCTGTGGTAGTTGTTGCGGTAGTAGTGGTAGTCGTTGTGGTTGTTGTAGTTGCTGGTGCAGCTGTTGTTGCTGCTGCAGTTGCTGGTACGTTGGAACACGAGGATTGGTAGGAGCTACAGAGGCACTGGATCTTGCATGAAGAATACCAGAAGTTACCAGGATAGAAAGGCATCGTGTTGAAATAGAAGTAGTTGTTTCCTGCAGAGTAAAAGAATGATGTTTTCAATGGCGATGTTGGGCTCTTGTGAGTAAATATGATTTTATGCCAATAGTCCAACATTATCACGACTCGGGACACCAGAAATGGACTTGCCAATGTGAGAAATCGGACCCGGGTCTTCGGCCTGACAAGCGAACGCTTTAACAACTGGGCTTCCCATCGTCTCTTTCTGGTCGTTTCATAAGGGGATTGTAGTGTTACAAAACAGACAGGCTACATACATGTATATGCGGACAGCCGGTGCTCTACGTACATAGGGTTCGCTATAACAACGACCGGTAAACGTTTGTACCAAAGTCCTGTGTATCAATAAATCACTGTTTTCATCTTGCAATTTATAAGTTTTATTTAAATATGCAACAGTTGTTTCCCCCAAACATTCAAAGATAAAAGTATTGGTTTTTAACTGAGTGCTATATTCGGATAGTCTTTCCTTTCATGCTCTTTATTGAATGTCAAATGGTTGCTTAACTGAACATTGGTTCAAATGAAAAGCACTCAAAACTTGTAAAAACGTAACTATTTAAATTCAGTACTGATATGTCGAGAACTATTTGTTTCATAATATTTGTATGAAGACAAAAACCCACTGGTTCTGCTGTATCTGTTGTAGTTATGGCAGTCGGCGCAAAATAGCAAACGTATGTAAATTCAATAGTAACATGTCGAAAACATTTATCCCATATTACTTAAATGAAGTGTACATGTAATTCTTACTTGTTCTGCTGTATCTTTTGTAGTAACGGCAGTCGGCGATGTTGTTAGCACAGCATTGTCCCGAAGTATCCAGCCAACACGATCTGATGTCTCTGGTCATTTTGCTCACGTCAGTGGCTCTCAAGAATGTTTGTCTCTTGAAAAATGCATTTCTGTTGGCCGCGTATGTGACGGCTGCAAACGCCGCCAGAAACAGCACTAGCTTCAACATGCTTGATGCGTCGGTATGTGTACTCGAAAATGGAAATTCGAAGATGTGCCTATTGTATATTAAACGATAATTCAATGAGGATTATAAAAGGAAGAGGAATATTTGAGGAATATTTGAGGAATATTCTAGCAATCGAACCGGGTCTAAGGCGTGATGAACGATATATCATGTTACATGAAAGCTTTGAAATCGGTTATTTCGTGAAATATTTGATGGAACTCAATTGCTATTTTAGTTAATCATCTCAGCAATGTACAGTTTGGTTCACCTGGGAAAGACGAGATCAATCAAAAGTGCTGACTGAAATGGGTATCGGATGGCTATACTATACCCTGGAACCTTGTTCATAAGACTTTCTTTTGTGTTTTCATTCTGATGGTACGGTAGCCATCGGGGCTGCCGATAAACCCATTCGATTTTTTAAAGAATTAAAACTTAATCTTAATCTTTAAAACTTGAAGTAAAAACGTTTGGTTGGTAAGTTTGGAATAATAAATTCTCAAGTGACTATGACATATCTTTATCAGAGATGTACAATTGTCCAAAAAGTAAGAAAAATGTGAGACTGTCACAGCGACCCCACGGCAGGGATCGCTACTCTTGCTATCAAGCAGTGTTATGTCTTGTCCAGATGAAGTTATTAACATTCGAACGTTGTGTCGCTGCAGTATTGGTATTGGTTACAACAAAACGAACTTCACTATGTTCCTTATTCAATCATAATCGGCAGTTTTGCAAGAAGGGTCTTATCATCCATATATTTTAATATATGATGCTCAATTTTAGTTTTTGATTACAAACTTTATGTAGCTTATTAAAGCTGGAAACAGCTGCCAAATATCAAGAGACGAAACAGTAAGTGTGGGTTCGAATCCCGGACAGAACTCAACCCCAAAAAGTACGAGAATCTGTACTTTACTAAGAAAGTGTTATCCCAAATATAACATTTGTAACGAAACAGTATACTTACCAAAATGTGAACTGAGTGTCAAGATGAAACACTCTTCGTCAACTGATGGTTCCGGACAGAATCTTCAGCCCTTTTATACACGTCAAATAAGAAAGAACTGAAGACACATCACGTGAGAGGCGTATTGCTTGTGTAAACTCTGACGCACAGTGCAATTCGGTGTAGTTCTATTATCTATCAAGCTATTATTCAATAGAAGTAACAAATACTCTTGCTGACCACTCGACAAGAACCGTGGCAGTAGGGCATGGCGGTACTCCGTTGACACATTACGTCTTCTCTGAAACAAGACAAAATAGTAACACGTGTTTAATGGAATGAAAGTAAGGTTACACCTGGAATGTAAAATTCCTCTTGATCTAAGTGTAATTGTCTTGTCAGCATTGAACGAAACTGTTATACAGATGCGACCGAGGCGCCAGGTATAGCTTTGTCTTGATGATGATTTTGAACACAATGTACCAACGTGACGTCTGAATGACCCACGTCGTGACCCAGGCGTTGTCACATAGGGGTTTACATTTGGCGACACAGACTTATGGTACTGAGAATGAAAGACCATTTAGCAATATATGGCCATGATGTCAGAATGACATATTAACACAATGTTAGTTTAGAAACAGTAATACGGCGATGCTGAAGTGTTTCTCTAACAGAACACATGTACATGTAATATTCTGGCGTATTTCAAGTCATAACTCGAGACGTATTTCTTGTATTCATTTCTGGTAATAATGAGTTAATAATTGCAGGATGGCGATAGAATTGACACAGAGGAGGCGTTAGTATATATGCATGTCCATAATCTTATACCCTTTCTTGATATTTTTCAGATTATACGTTGCAACAAATTGATGCATAAGATGGCGGTGAGGTGAGGTAAAATGGGGTTGAACGAAGCGTCCAAGACTATTGCACTTATATAGCGACATTGATGTACGTGTGTGTATGTCTGTGTGGCTGCTTGTACCAGTCCGGACTAATGCCGATTTGAGTCCGATTAGAAACCATGCCACAGTTTAACATGAACACACCACTCAGACACAGTATACTGACTCCAAGCAGACCAGTCCTTGTTTTAACCCCTTAATGCCGAGCGCCGCACTGGTTAACAACAATTTCCATCTTTTAACGTCTTTTGGTATGCCGCGGCCGGGGATCGAACCCCAGACCTTCCGTTCTCCGGGCGGACGCTCTACCACTAGAACACGGAGGCGGTTTCCAGAGTGAATATATTTGTTGGTTGGTTGTTTAACGCCGCCCTCTGCAATATTCCAGCTACATGACGGTAGTCTGTAAATAATCGAGTCAGGACCAGACAACCCAGTGATTGACATCGTGAGCATCGATCTACGCAATTGGGATACATTGATATGCATCGCAAGAGGCGACTTACGGGATCGGATGGTCACGTAATTCTCCATTTGGACTTGTACCATATGTTAAACTTTTTCAGGTGAACAATTGACATGTCCTTGCATGTGTTTGTGACGGATGCCACCGGTGGGGCAAGATATGATCAGCATTTCGCGAACACCTGGTATAATCGTATGAAAGTGATTCATAAACACGTGTGCTTGTATAGTTGGAAAGGTACAGTGGACTCAGCTTTTAGCAGATATTTCCTGTGATCATGGAAATGGTTTTCAGCAGTCGCTATATGGCAGGAATTATGCCGATGCGACGTTATATTTTAACTCACTCACACACTTATAAACAGTATATATAACTCACCATACTCACATAACATCTTTCATTAGTAACAATGTTACATGTGCATCTTGTCAAAATGATTTCCTAATTCTTTAGGAAGTTCTTGCGTATACAGTAAACTACGGTTATAACGAACGCGCTTATAACGAACTGACGATTATAACGGTCTTACTTTTTTGGTCCCCACTATTTGCTGTAGTTATTCTGTATATATGCTTATAACGAACTACAGTTATAACCAACTAAAATAAGTAGTCCCTCTGAGTTCGTTATAACCGTAGTTTACTGTAGTACAAAAAGGTTAGTTTATTCATGCTATTCTAAAAATACATTGGTATGTACTTTGAGTTCATTCTCTTATTTGAACTTGAGTCACATTCTAAACCCTAATTTTAGATGAGGAAATGAAAATCAGTGTCACACTACATAAAACTACATGCCAAAAGCAAAGGTGCCCAGCGACTGACATGTCTTGTAAGTTTCAACCAAAAGAGCCCTGTAAGTTTCAACCAAACAGCTCAGTGATTTACATGTCTTGCCGCAAGACTATACTTACATGACATATAAATTTAAACCAAGTCAAGTGAAAGACAAGCCTTAATTGTAAGATTAAACCAAACGGGCCTAATGCTTGACATTCCTTCGTCTAAGTTCGAAACAAAAGGGTCAAATGACTGGTTTGCCTTTTTTAAAGTTTGGGTCCAAAATCCCTTTGTCCAATCTGTTTATTTTCTGAGATATTCCTTTTTGTCAAAATGTGGCATTTGCTCCTTTGCGCAGATTACATTACCGTTCTGACACATTCATCTTTGATTTGACACAAAAGTGAGTGAGTTTGGTTTTAATCCATATATTTCGGTTACAGTAAACTACGGTTATAACGAACTCAAAGGGACTACTTCTTTTAGTTCGTTATAACAGGGACCAAAAAAGTAAGTCGGGACCAAAAAAGTAAGTTCGTTAGGGCCGTCAGTTCGTTATAAGCGTGTTCGTTATGACCGGAGTTTACTGTATAAGAAGACATGTGAGCTTGATGTGAGACCGAGGGAATATAATCAGGTCAAACCAAATTCGAACCCACAGTCAAAGGTTTCCACAACGTCTATGGGATGCAGCTGTGCCCTCGGAAAGACACTCGATAGAATGGTTTTCTTATACATGTGGCGTTTGTAAACCTGAATGTTACGTAAGATGTAAACAAAGTAATGCTTCAAACAAGAGCGTCACCTGGTTGTATCCCCTAAAGTATTTCTCGTTCTAAAGGATTGCAACAGGTAAGTCACGTACAACCGAGCACCAACGCCTACAACAGTCACACACCTATAGGCCAAGAGTCTCCTATTGTTGTCTGGCTATCCAGGACAGTAACGTACACACAGAGCAAGAGCAACACTTCCTGGAACCTATCCTCGACTGAGCGAATGAGACAAACAGCCTTATATTTAGTTGTTGAAATCGGCAAGGTTATGGTGGTATGTTGCGCAGGGTAGTGTGGCTGATTATATGTAAACGTACTATCTTTCTGGTCGTCGATCAGTAAAACTGACGTTCTTCCAAATCTGGGTGGGAAATATCATTCTGGGTAAAACGCCAGTGTCTTCTCTCATGCATGCATACCATATCCTTTGGGGGTAAGTTTTTAATATATGATGCTCATCTTTATGCTAAAATATCGTAAATGTATTTTGTATGCACCCATACCTGTAAACTTTTATAGGAAATTCTACTGCCTCATGGTATGAAACAATAATAAAATACTTTTCCAGAATGCTAATGTCTTCATACGGCATCCACTGTCAAGGGATCAACTTTAGGACAAAAGTACTAGATAGACGTTGGTTGACCAGTTGGTCTAGTGCTATTCATGTGTACTCATAAATCACTTTTTATACCAATATATTTTTTTACATTTGAAGTTTACACGATAAATGGCTTTTCCATCGGTCACATGACCGATAAATTGACGTTAATAAGTATATGAGCTACACAATTCGACGTTGATACGTTTTTTCACGAGACCGTGTTCTTGAAATGACGTAAACACTGATGGACTACGTCCACATTCCTGGGAAAACCCCAAGATGTTTAGACATTTTAATGTTAAACTCAGCGTTTTAGTATAAATTGAGAAACGTCAGAGAGTTTGACTGCATGATCGTTCACGATTATCCCCGCTACGACCGATCCCGGTGAACAGAAAGAAGAAATGCACATCACAACTACCGTAGTATCGACTCGACCTGTGCTAAGGCAGCTAACAGTGCTAACAGTGACAGCCTACAACAATATATGAATTTACCTTAGTGTCTATTTCACACATCTTTAATCACCTTTTAATGATCGGCCAATTGGTCAATGATGACTGAAACATGTAACCGCCATAGGTTCATGAACAACTGCCGAAATCTCTCCCATCACGTTTGTCGTGTCGGCCAATTTAAAGTCGCGTACTTGATGTAAATCTGTTGCGACGCGCTGTCAATGTGACCGAGTTACTGAGGTAGTTCTGAACAGACCTTTTTCATCTGATGGTGATATTCTTTGAATACATGTGTTTTGTCAGATATGTCTGATGTCACCTCTCTTTTTGAGGAACTGTCTTAATCCGCGATACAGCTGGTTGGTGTATGGCTGCCAGTGTTAACATGAAGTCACACGTACTAAATATAATTGTGTACAGATCTAGGCCTACATCCTTTGGGGTAAAACATATTTACTCTGACGTTCATATAGTTTGGCCCTCACCCTACATGAAGGTTCATACTCCAATGAACACACACAAAGTGAAAGTAAATTCTTTAATATTCTCTGGACAGGTCATATTGACCTCGTCAACAGTAATCATTCGTTTTGTTACACCGAAAATCACTTTCATGAAGCCTTCAAATCGTCCTCTGTTTAGTTACAGTAACTAAGCTGCACACCGTGAACTGTTAGTACCAGGCGCCATCATATTTTCTACTAGACGAATCAATATTCATCACGTGACCGGCCAATACTGATCATGTGACGAGTCAGTATTTGAGGTCAGTGTCAGTCACATGATTTGTGAAATACTAACATACTAATGCCTTCGGAGCGTCCGGAGAAACTTCGCGGACGATTAGTAATATTGTGTGTTTAAACGGTGCCTATTACTAACCGCTGAATGTTTTTTCGCAATTCATATTTTCATTTTGTCCAAAATAACCACTCCGTTTCTCCTTGAGGCGTATCACTAAAAAAGTATATTATATATAGAACGATAACAAATAAATAATTACATACAGATTATAGAAACCATTACAAGTTTTATCTAGCACCATGTTTATATTCCTTGCTTGCATTGCACCGGGCTACCGTGGACTTT